GGATCCTACAGACCTCCTGGGCACTCCCACGTGACCTTGTTTCTCTCCCTGAATCCTCTATCACCCTTCCCTCCCTCTGGATGCCTCTGAAAGGCCAAGCCTCAAACCTGACCGTCCCTCTCCCAGAGTCGGCTGAAATGGCAGGACAAGCAGCTTTGCCCTCAGAACACACTATATACAAGGGCACCGATGACCTCTTTTTCACCATCTGGGACAGTCTGGGCCCCTGCAACCTTGCTCTTTGCAGAGAATTTGGCAGAGAATGTAGATTTTCAATTGACCTGTAGGGTCTTTTAAGAGCTCATACCAGCCATGCTGCTGCTCTGTGCCAAGCACTGTGCTTAGCTCTTGGTCCTCATGCCCTGTGAGGGGTTATCCCCATTTTACTATGATAAAACCAAGGCTTGGAAAAGTCAAAGTGCTTACCCCAACACAGAGGACACGCAACTACTGGGCAGTGGAGCCAGGATGCAACCCAAGTTTGCCCTCCTCCAAAACCCACCACGAGAAGGCCTGGACAGAGGCCCTTTAAATTCAAAGAGGCCAGGTGGCTGAGGGAGCCAAAGTAATCACCTGCCTTAGGACTGCCTGACCCCACGGGGCTGCCATAAGTGGCCAGGCCTGGCCCTTCCACTTCCCTGGACAGGCGTGCGGATTAGGGACCAAGTTCCTTTTTTCTGTGCCTGGCTTCCTATTGACCCATTCAGGCCACCTGTCTAGTTGTTAAACTTATGCAAACGCAACTCGATGTGTCTGGGAAATCTGCTGGGCACCAGCCAGCCCTCTCCAGGAGACATTAAGGCATCGAGAATTCCTCATTGGCTAAGCCTGGTTTGTTTTAAATGCTGTCTGTCTGTACGTACATAGCAAAATGCTCTCCTCCAGCTGATTAAGTGCCGAAATGTATAGCATGGAAAATAAGTGATCTTAAAGGTGGATCTGTGAAGTGGGAGCCTGGGAAGGGTGTTTGCAGGTGAACAGGCCCTGGACAGGGGAGTAGGGGGTAGGAAGTGTCAGAAGAACATGTTCAGACACACCTCACTTTGTTCTGCTCCTGGGGGAGTCTCTGCCTAGGTGAGGGGCACACCCAGGTGGCACTTACTCATCACCCTCATGCCAGGTTCCAAAACTGGATTTGCCACCTCACACCGCCCAGCTATTGAGAAGGAGTCATCTGATGCTTGGGCCAGGCTTCCCATCAGCTATCAAGGCCGCGCCTGCCTCTTTCCTTCTGTACCTTTCTCTGCCAGATGAGTTCTCCATCTTTCTCTCCATCTGAGCTGAGTGAGAGCGGTATTTCTTCCTTTGACAAAGAAAGAAAAAGGCAACTGCTCTTTCTTCCCATGAGGGACCCCAACCAAGCTAGATTTTTAAGCTTAACTTGCTTCTTGTGCTTGGAGTTCTCAGTGGTTGGGATTCAGCTTCCAGGCTCCTGAACACTTTGCTTTGCTGGGCCTTAGTTTCCTCATCTGTAAAATGGGGATAACAATACCTATGTCATAGGGCAACTGGGAAGATTAAATGAGTTAATACAGGGAGTGTGGTTTTTGGGGAATGTTAAGTCTCTACTAACAGTTGGCTATCAAGGCTGCTGTGTATGGTTGTGCAGATGGTGTGCTGCTTAAGGACACCGGCTGGGGGTGGGAGTGAGGATGGACCCAGGTTACATGCCGATTGCCTGGCTGTGTCCACCCAGATGAGACTCCTCTTTTAAATGGCACCAAGGTGTGAGCTTCTTGCCTAGAAGGAACCCCTTATTCTAACTCACGCAAAGGATAGAACAGGCTAGCAGCGGCCCTGGGGGTGTTAATCTTATCCGCTCTCAGCATTCTCATGGCTCTGTCCTCCTTCCCAGCCAGACTGGATTAGAGGGGAGTCCAGACAGACTGGTCTCAGCCATACATAAGGGCCTGCTCCTCAGCTCCCCCGCGCACCTGGAGCACTTGCTCCCAAAGCCCCCCACGCTGCCCTACTGAGACAGGATAGTAAGAAGCTAGGAAAATTCCTTGGCAAGTGGAATAGTGAAACCCAGACAGAAAGCTGAACACAATGTTTGAGCAATTTAGAGCCAGATACAAAATGTCAACTCCTCAGAGATAACACCTAGGCATCAGTAGTATTTCAGCTCCAGGCCAAGAAAGAAGCAAAACCAGGTGGGTGACTACAATGACTGAATGACCCTTGCCCTGGCCTTGACCAATCAGTGGAGATCACGATCCTGAAAGGGCACAACTGGAGAACTGATGAATATTCTGAAACCCTCCCCTGAGACCTCCCTAAGATTCCTACCTCCAAGAGAGAGAAAGAAGCCTCAAGACAAAGGACCTGGCTCTCTCTCCCTCTGGGGAGCATCCTTGGCCATTCACTTTCCCCTCTTCTTCCCCCACTTCTTTCCCCACAGGCACAGGACTCCTAAACGGGCAGCTTGTCCCAGATTTATCCCCTGAACTTGTCCCCAAGGCCCCCTTTACTCTGACTTCCCAGTGAGCTAAGGCAGCTTGGCCCAGGCTCTCCCGTTGCATTCTCTATGCTAGGCCCTTCCTTGTTCTACTGGCCCCAGCTTTAATAAACGTACCCTCATAGTCACCTGCACTTGTGAAATCTTCCCTACATAAAGTCAAGAGCCCACACACTACCGCTGGCCCTAAGCAGACCCCGGGGGCCAGGCCCCCCCGTCCAGTAACATGACAACCTCATCCCCACTGAGGAGCCTCTCAGCCCCAGCCATGGAGTTGGCAGAGTCTTCACCTCCGAGTTGAAAGGACCCTCTCCTTGGTAACTCTCCTTGGCCACCTGTCTCTGCCAAGTAATGGGCGGCGCATTATCCACTGAGGAGCTCTAGTTGTTGGCAGGTTCCTTCTGACTTGTGAGGAAGATCCACTTCCCTGCTTCTCCTAACCAGTGAGTCTCTGAGGCCAGGCAGAACAAGTCTTCTTTTCTCAAGGGACAGGCTTGAGATTCCTAAAGGCTACTGCCCTGGGCTGCTAGGCCTTACATCCTCAGAGGAAATATGGCTGGTTCATTCTCTTCTCCCTCACAAGTACACTTCCCAAAACCTCCACACCATTCCACCCCTTCTCCTCTGGACACATCCCCATTTGGCAGTGGTGACCCTTGAAAGAAGGGCTATTATGAGGGGGGTTCTGCCCTCCAGCGGTCCAACTCTACTCTTCCTGGGCTCTGTGCCCAGGATGCTTGCCACTTGGCCTCCCGCCAAGCTGTGTACCCTCTGCATCAGGCAAACCTCCCCCACCTTCTTTCTCTTTACTGACTTCAGGGAATTCAAGAGGGAAAAATACAACCCCAGGTACCTCCCAGACAGTGCCATGTCAGGTGGGCAATTTGCCAGAAACCTCTACCCAGGAGTTCCTCCCTGAACTTGCCTTCAGATTAAAAGTTCACCCACACACCCTCCTCTTTGTTTTCCTCATGGGTGCTACAGAAGCTGAGAGCGTGTTTCTGGTAAGGTGACAAGTTCTGGGACGATGGCATCAGGTTAAAAGTTCAGATCCTTGCCCCCTGAAGGACGGAGCTTGAAATGCTGCATCTTTGACAATTCTGGAGCTAAAGGATGGCACTCGAACAAAAGCCTTCCCATCTACTCAGGGAGAGGAGAGTCAGTATAACCACTTCACGGTTACCCACAAGTGGAAAATATGAGGGCGGAATGGCCTGGAGCAGCAGCAGACACATGGAATTAGCAAACAATGAAGGCCAGTTAGGCATGTAGGCTGGAAGGACAACTCAAAAGCACAGCCTATTATGTTATCAGTAAAGAAGTGAATGGCAGCAATCCTGCCTGTGTGTGCCATGCCATTCTGTGGGTAACCTGGACCTGTGACTGCACAGGGTACCCATTAGTGATTAGCGTTACCTGGCAGCCTCTCCAAAGTGGAAGCGGTTTTAAAAGGAACAAGAAAACTGAATACAGCTCCGAAACTGATTTAGGTCCAGAAGACCAGGCTCTGCCAGTACCTGGTGCTCCTCTAGTGTTGAAGGGGGTGGGGGCAGGGGTCCTTCTCACACCAGGCAGAGGGGCAAAAGGCCAAGTGCCATCAATGAGAGGATCTGTAAAATATTTCCCCTTCCTGGACAGCTTCTCTTTTCTTTCTTTTCTTTTCTTTTTCTTCCTTCCTTCCTTCCTTCCTTCCTTCCTTCCTTCCTTCCTTCCTTCCTCTTTCCCTCTCTCCCCCCTCCCTCCCTTCCTTCCTTCTTTCCTTCCTTCCTTTTCTTTTCTTTCTTCCTTTTTTTTTTTTTTTTTTTTTAAGAGAAGGAGCATTTAGAAATTTAGAATGGGAAGCCCGGCCCTGGGGCTTCTGAATCCCTTAGCCGGCAGTCAGAAAGGTGGAGACACTGGGAAATGGCTGGGGATGGAGTTGTGGGTCAGGTGGCAGAGACTATTTGCAGCCCCAGGAGAAAGTTTTGCACTCCGTCGGATCCCTTCCACTAACAGTTCCAAAAGAGGAAGCCGCGGAGGCTTTATCCGTCCCCAGCAACCTCATAGCTTCACTACTTGAAACTAAGAATAAGCTCCACTCCTTCTCCCTCCTCCCAGGAGGGGAAGGCAGGCGAGAAAGGAGCTGGCTAAAGACGGGGGCTCCCAGCCCCCGACCCAAGGCTTGTCTTTGAGCCCCAGTACTCTGCTCAGACGTTGAAAAGTAACGGATCGTCGGAGCAGTAGGAACAAAGACGTGGTCCCGATTCGGGCGCTCGGGAGCGGAGATGCCGGCGGCCGGTGCTGGAGCTGAGCGTGGAGCGCCGGCGTGGATGCCAGACGACGCTGCGCCGCATCTTGGCTCGGGCACTGCGGCGGGGTCCCCAGAGTCCGCCCCAACATGGGGGCCCGAAGAGGCCCCTCGTCCCACTTGCAGCCCCTGCGCCCCCGCCCCAGGCCGCCATCTCGGGCGCAGCTCCGCCTCGCCCCCCGTGTCCATCGCCTCCTTCTACCTTCCCACCCACGAGGAGGACGCAGAGCCTCGCGGCTGCTGGCCCAGACTTACGCTTCGCCTTCGTCCCCACTCGCCGTCACGGGGAGGACCGCGCGGGCCCAGGCTGCGCAGGCGAGTCCCCAGGGCCCGGAAGCTGCGGTTTGGCTGCGTTAGCGGCAGAGCGTCCCGGTGGACAATTAGACGGTCGGGGGCGGAGATACCCTGGCCGGCTCCCGCCTCGTAGCCTCCATCAGCCGGGATCTAAAGAGATTCGGAGTTACTCATTTCCTGGCTGTTACAGAAACTTTTCCTCCTTATAAGAACAAAACACCCGCCTCTACTCCTGGTCGCAGAAGCTCCTTAAGGAGGACCGTGCGAGTTAGGGGGCCGGGCCTGGAGGCCGGGCCCAGGGGCCGCCGCGGAGGTCTGCCCATCGATCCCTCAGGAACTCCACAGGGGCAGCAGACCCGGAGGATGTCGGGGAGAGACGGGATCCGGCCACTAGAGTAACCTGGGGCGAGTGGATAGGGAGTCGAGGAGGACGCCCTTAAAAGTCTGTCCAGGCCGGCTGACAGGAAGGGGTTAAGTCTCTGCTCGCCTCCCCTGTGTTTTCCAAGGCGCGTTTTACAGGCGGCGGATTCCTGGGGCCACCTCTTTTGTCCCCTGGAGGGAAATATAAATCGAGACGCGACGCCGGCTCTTTATTCGGCTTGAAAGGATTAAAATAACACCAAATTTAAAGATAAACGAATGCATCTTTGCCTTTCTCCCCGAGCAGCTAGGCACAAAAGAAAAACGATGACTTAGATGCTTTTATCTGCAGAGGGCGCTTTAGTTTTCAAAGCCTGTTTACTGTTGTGAAATTAGAACTCTATTTTAGGACGCAGGGACTTGAGACCCGGAGGGCGGCAGCAGCAGCAGCATCCTGCTGGTGCTTAACCGGTTATGAAATCCGTAACCTATTATCTTTGTGCACTGCCTAGATTCCACAGCCAGCAGAAGTGACAGGGAAGGGCTTGAGATAATCCTATATAAAGTTGCTTTGGGGAGTCAAACACCAGTGAGGGCACGTTGGGGAAATTAAAACACACTGCCCAAGAGATGATCACCACTGCCACTGCTGTTGGGTTTTAGATCACCTTCTTCTCTTCGTCCTCAAGCCAGTCAAATAACTGTAACACTCTCCTGGAAGACATTAGGCTAAGTGGAAAGATGAACGGGAGAAAATAGAAACCCCTGGTCCTTATCCCAGGTTTCTTTTGTTTTCAAGCTTCCCCTGCTGCTTTCAGCCTCTTCCCTACTTCCGGCACAGTTATGGCAGTTTTGGGAGCTGGTAGGGAGGGGTGGGAAAGGGGTAGTCTGGGGAAGTATTCTTGAAAGAGCTGTGTATTTACAAAATAGCTGCAAGTTGGTCCAGTGGGGTACTCACCCCCAAAGCAGGCGGTGGCAGGAGGAGGGGGTTCGGATTCCTGGGCGATGAGGACACTGAACTGAGTACCCTTGCGCTTCGTTGTAATCTTTGGGGTAAGAGTGCAGGATTATGTATGCTGGAATGCCAAAGTTATTGCTTCAGCGCCCCCTAGGATTGCGCACATTTGTTTACGTAAGGAACAGGTTGTTCAGCTTGTTTTTCTTTTAAACCTGATGATTTCACTCTTCATGACCTGATGGTCAGCTTCATTGGCTTCCCTCTGCTCTCTACATAAGGTCCACTCTCCTAACTTGGCACAGGGGTCATTCATGAACCGGCCTCTACTTATCTCATCAACCTCATATCTCAGTTCACGTTCCACACCAAACTCCTTGCAGTTCTTGGAACCTGTGCTTCTCAGAATGTGATACTCGGTTTGTCCCCGCCCACCCTGGGTATTCACATGTGCTCTATCTCCTGCCAGCAACCCTCACCCCACCTCATCCTCCAGTCTGTTACCCTCAATGCACACACATTTTTTTTCCTGTGTGATATGTGCTCAGTCTTCAAGTCTCAGATTAGGCGACTTCTCTTCCAGAAGTCTTCCTTTAACATGCATGCCTGAGTTAGACATCTCCCCTCACCCCTGCTCCTCCCTGTAGTTTCCACAGCAACTTGTGGTTACTCAGGAAGGTGGGTTTTAAAAGATAGGAAAGTACAAAGGATTCAACTTCTGAGAACATCAGAGTCTAAGAAGGTAGGTAACCTCTGCTTCAAACACAGAAACGCTAAAAAAAATAAATAAATAAATAAAAAAGTCAACAGTTGAAAGAAAGAAGGAGGTGTTCTCTAGGTATGAGATAGGAAGAGGGAACTGTAAGGCACATGGGGTATTTGACAGGACCCCCCAGGTCTAAGCCCAAATAAGGACTTGGGGGGGTGGGACGGCGAGTATCCACTCTGGCCTTGTGTTCTAGAAAGGTAGAGATCTGGACTTGAGACCCCTACTTAAAGCTGGGACACTGGAAAGGCTGTTAGTGACTGGAGAATAGAAAAAGAAACAAAAAACAAAACAGAATAAAACCCCCCTGAAAATCCTTCCATTTGTCCAAGACCACAGGGAGGAAGTTTGTGGTTTGTCTGGGACTCTGGATGAATTTTTAAAACAAGTCTGCTATCGAAAGTGAAACCACTAGTTTCTCTATGCTGTTCACTGGTGTGAGGTCCTGGTTTACACTCCCCATGTGCTGAGGAAATTCTGAAGCCAACACAGTAGAAAAGCTGGTTCAAAAGTGATGAATCCCCTCGGTCCTGTCAGAGGAAATGCAAAACCACTTGTTTATTCTGATCTCTCACAGCATGAATAACTCCCATTGAGGATGAGTGTATAATAAGAAATAAACCAAAGGAAGAAATGAACCACATGAGGGGTGAACTGCATCCGTAAACAGGAGAAATAGCCCCTTAATAACCTGAGACAATAGAACACTTTGGAACAGATGATAAAATAGTTATGTTCAAAATAACTACAGAGCCAAAACTATAGAACATAATACTATGAAAAAAAGAATAAGCAAATTTGAAAAAAGACAAATACAATATATAGAAATAAAAATTTAGTCACTTAGATTTAAAAACCTCAATGATTAGAATTCTTTTTTCATCAAGGCAGCAATAACATATCAGTCAAAAATCCAATGAAAATTACGCATTAGAAAGGGGAAAATAAAGAAAAGTTAACATAATAATCTCATTTATAAATACCATCTTAGAATCCCTAAGTAAAATGTTAACACAAAATCCCAGTGACACATCAAAAGAATATTACATCATTAAATGAAAAATGGAAAGATCATCACCATAGATGCTGAAAAGCCATTAGACAAAATTCAGCATCCAAATATAAATAAATGCTTTTGTTAGCTTGATAAAAAGGTAAAGTTCAATCCCAACGCCAATATTGTGCTCCATGGGGAAATAATAGAAACTTTCATGTTAAAGTCAGTGCAAGACATGCATGTTCTCATTTACGCACCCTCCCTTAAATGAAAGTCAGTTAGGAATGTGTTTGACTGCAAATAATAAAATACATGATTATAATTTTATATGTGTCTAAGAATACAATTATAATTTTAGATGTGTCTAAGAATACAAGAGGCTTAAACAAATAGGGATTTATTTTTAAGCCTGTAGATAGGTGGCTGTTTTGACTCAATGCTTTGATAATTTTGGGGCTGGTCAAAGGTCATACACTTACTGTTTTGATATATAGTGCAAAATCGTCTTCCAAAGATGTTTCACCAATTTAGACTCAGCAAAAAAATTTGAGAATGCCTGTTTCCCTACATCTTTTTCTGCATTGGCTATTTCCTAACTTTATTTATTTTGCTTCTTTTTTAGTAACAACAACAAAAAAACATAGGTCAATGCCTTGATTTGCATTTCTTTTAATTATAAGTGGGGCTGAACAGAACATTATTAGTGGCCATTTTTACTTTTCTATTTGTGAATATTCAGCCATAACTTCACCTATTTTTTGTTGGCTTGTTCTTCATATGTGTTGTTCATGATCTTAAGTGTTAGATATGCTTTCAAAATTCACAGTGAAAGGTGAATTGTGATAAACACTGGACCAACTGTGGGCTGCTTCACAGTGTACTTCACAGTCAGGAACATTGGCAATAAAAATCAAAAAACAAAACATGGGAACAGATTTCCTGTTTACCCCCAGCTGTGGTTATCCCAGTATATGGAATAAAATACATGGCAATGGGAGGAACAGGAAGCCAATGCTAGTTATGAAGGGTCTGATGGATGGAAAAAAGGGGCATTTTCCTTGATTTGGTCAATCCCTCACTATCCTGAATTCACCTTTTCATGCAATTTCTAGAGATAATAACAAGTTGGCTTACAGGATGTTTCATTGGAACAGATTGCTTGGCTGAGACCTCAAAGGTGTCAGTTGAACAGGATGGATGATTTGCATTTGGCTATTTTTTCCTTCCAAGTCTGTCCTGGGATTCCTCCACCTCTTCTAGGAATGTGGGAGCCAGCAGGGCCTTTAGAAATTACTTACTGACAAAAATGAAGCCCAGAGAAGTTAGGTCACATACTAAAGGTCACATTTTTGCTTAGAAACAGAATATTAATAGCTAAAGCTTACCCTAGGTGCTAAATATTACTCTAAGCACTTTACAAATAACAACTCATAATATCATAATATTATGATATCATTCTCATAATATCCCCATATTATAGTTGGTATCATTAGCATTCTGTATAATAGAACAAAAAATGAGGCCTAGTGAGGCTAAGTAACTTATCCAATGTCACACAGCTCATAAGTGGCAGAGTTAGGCTTTGAACCAGAAACTTGGCTCCAGAATTTTGTTCTTAACTATGACTCTATATCATGTTCATAGTCAATCCCCTTCAAATGTTCAGCTACACTGAATTTCCCCCAAATGAGATTACAATAGTTAGAATATTTTTCAAACTATTTTGAAAATACATTTTACTTCAGAACCTGATATACTTACACACAAGTGTGTTATAATTGAAAGTTTCTTTAAAATGCTTACTAACTGTGATATACCCTGCCATATTCCCTCTTCTTTTTTCTATTCCTATCTTTACCCTCTTATGGAAAAAAAATACAGGTCACGATTTACTAATTAGTCATGATCCATGGTTTGAAAAAATGCTTCTTTAAACCACCCCTTTGACTCACGCCTCTGTTATGAAAGCTGTTGGTGGTTTATACATGTTAAACTTCCATCCACACTTCGCTTGGAGTGGGAAAGAATGTCAGATAATTTCTATCAAGCTTATCTCTCCCTGTAGTTAATGTCTAAAGAAGACACACAGGGACCTTAAAACAAATCACCATGCTGTATGTAACCTTAGGAAAACCTTTATTCACTCACCCATCCATCCACCTATGTATTCAATAAATATTTGAACACCTACTATACAACAGGCTTTGTGCTAAATTAGGAACTGAAAAACTACTGCCGGCAGCCCAAATCCAAAGCAACACCTGCTTCTGTAAATAAAGTTTTATTGTCTCATAACCATGCCCATTCATTTAAGTATTGTCTGTGGCTGCTTTTGTGCTATGATGGAAGAGTCGAGTAGCTGCTACAGAGACCATGTGCCCTGTGAAGCCTAAAATATCTCTTAATCTGGTCCTTTAGAGAAAAAGTTTGCAGAGTCTGGTGTTAGATTTTAAAATATAATGGCATTTTAGACTGGCCTCTGCCATCCTGGAGATTCGAATTATTCTGCTTCTTAAATTGGGTTTTGAGCTGCTTTTGTTGGGGGTGGGGGTGAGGATGGGGTTGGGGTCGGTCCAGGCTTTTTGTGTCCCTCCAATTGCCTCGGAGAACACCTGTTCACAGTAGATGCTCAGCAGGCGTTTTCTGCTGCTGAAATAATTCAGTAGATCTGGCAGCAGATAGTGGAAAGAAAGCAACCTACCTATAGGGTAGGAAAGAAAGTCTGTTCCTTTAACACAGCAGAGTTTCATTTTATAGATGTCTATCTTTGCTGCCATAAGAAGCAGGGCATCAACTCTTTTGAGTACTTACTGTGCATTTGACCCTGGGGTGGGGGGAGAAAAGAAAGGACTTCATTCTTTGCCACTTGTATCAGATGGGAAGAGAAATGGGACGAATGCATTTAATTGTTATTCTTACTACTTTTGTTTGGGGACCTGGTGTGTACTTGGTGGTGATTTTGTTCAGCTACCTCAGAATCCTAAATGTTTGTGTTCAATAGCTTTTAACTTTCCTTCATCACTAATGACACCCAGGAGTAATTGTTGGGTGTCTGAGTGTATAAGCTAATTGTATTCCTTCTTCTTGTCTTCCTTTCCTTCTTTCTTTCTTTATCAAACTTTCTATTTTGAGTATCTCTTATGTATCAGCACCATAGCTATATAAAAGAAAAGACTGGTTCTTCCAGTCTATGGGAAGGACATAGAAATAAATACACAATTAAAGTATAGTGTATTGACAGAGGGACACTCAGACTTTCTAGCAGCACAGAAGAGGAGTGCCTAACCAGGGAGGACTTCCTGGAGGAGGTTACACTGAGCTGAATC